ACCATGTTCAATGATTATAAGCCCTGGGTCTGAGCTGTAGCCATTTGCAAGGAAATGGGGAATGGAGTTTGAAGGCCAGACCTACCAGGAAATTAAAAAGGAACATAGTAACATGGAAAAAATATTCTAGAAAAGCTTTTCCAAACCAGGATTGTTCTTGCTTGCAGTTTAGCTGTTGAAGGACCCCAGCTGTAAACCCCAGATATAGCCTGGGCAGTCACATCTCACATGTGGATGTTTGAAGATTGAACTGAACTTTAACATGGAGACTTTTCTTGAGGAGAGAACCAGCCTGTTGTACTAGCATAAATTCTCCCTGTAATACTGAATAGCTCTCAAAATTAAAGGAGATGTTGGGAAAGGAGTTACATGTTAATTTGAAGGTCTGTTTGACTCATTCCTTCCTTCCTCCTAATGTTCCATGGCTCAAAACTGCCTTTCAGTGTCCCATCTACCTTGTTTTCCTACTCTCTCTTATTTAGAGTTTCTTATAATTGGCAGGATGGCACCTCCCTCATTCAAGATGAGGCAGTGTCCTGTGGCAACTGAATTAGTTGTTGACCTGGAAAAATAACACTAGGAAAATATAGTGAAATGTTTTTGCGAAAGCCAAGCAATGAAATTGGAGCAGAGCCCTGTGCTGTAGGTTGCCCATGTCTGTAGCAGCTGCTCTGTAGGCAGTGTGGTGGGGGGAGGTAAGTGAGTACTGGTTTCATTCCTCCAGTCTGAAGTAGTGGAAACAGTTCCCCATCACAGAGATACCAGTAATCGTTGTTGAGCTCATCCATTGCTTTCTGGTTTTGTGCCAGGAGCCAGGGCATGAGACCAACTCAGCAAAGTCTCCTTCCAGGGCTCTTGGAAGGGACTTCACTTAGTTGCAGAGGTTTCCTGGACTGGTTGGCCTGAAGTGAATAAGCCTATGTCACAAACAGTCTTATACGTGCAGCACAGGTAGTATTGGCCTCTGCCAGGGAAACCACCTCCCTGGAGGTAAACTCACTCCTTCCCTCCTTCCTCACTCCCAGAAGGAGATTGGGAGTGATGCCCTCCAGCCATGAAATGTGTGCATTCTTCACTCAAGCTGGGAACAAGGCATTTCCTGTGGTCAGTTGTATCTTTGTATTATCTCTTGCCCATAAATATACCTCAGCCACACCAAACCATGCTGTTGGTGTTTCAGGTTTTTAGAACAATACAGCCTTTAAGTGAAGCCTGTTGGGAGAGTTTTGTTTTGCCTTAGAAGTGAGATTTCTTATCCTTTGTAAGCTCACAGATGATTCTTAATGTCATTGCTTTTGATTGTATGATAGCAAGGTAATTTCTCTTCTGGAAGGCAAAACAAGAGGAATTCCACTTTAACATAGTGGTATGTTTTCATTTGATGTATTTCAGAGCTTTAGACTTTGAGGATGACCCTTTAGGACATGGGCAATTTCAACTGCAGTTTATCTCTCAGTTGACAAGCAGCAGTGTGATGAGAGGGACATATTTTTCTGTCTCTAGTATTTTCTTGTATCTCCTAGATTGTCTTTCATGTGAAAATTCCCTCAAAAGTGTAAGCTTTACTCTTAAGTTTCCTTAAATACCATCTGGTTATTTTACACCAACCTATATTCCTCACTAGAGATGGATGAAAAGTGAAATGCATGGGGAACTTAGTTTGTTTCTGTCTGACACAGAAGGAGTCTTTATCCTGACCAAAAGCACATCAAGTGCCAGAGCTGAAGGACCCAAGTGTAACACTGAGATTCTCATCAACAGGAGGCTGCTTTCTGATGCATTTGCTGAAGAAAGACTGAAGGGTGGATGGCCACCTGTCCTTTGGTTTAGGGTTTTTTTTTCCTTTTTTTTGCTTCTTTTGTCCTATAGCTTGTAAACATTCACACATCTATGTGAAGTGAAGATTTTATTCTATTCTCTTCAAATTTGCATGTTAAGGCAGAGAGTGTGTTGGGCACAGTCCTTGCAACTTTTCTAGTTGTTCCAGCTTGAGCAAGAGCTTGGACTATTGTGATACCAAGCGGTGTCTTTCAGTCAAAAAACTTCTGCAGTTGATGTGCTGTGAATGAAACCATGATCTGGTGGGACTTTTGACATGGAGTTTTTAAATTTTCTGTTACAGCAGTGCCACAGTTCTGAATTTCTGAGGAAAATGGGGCTGTACTGCTTTGGACAAAAGTAAATCTGTTGCTAATATAGGACAGGGACTGTAAAAGTGAGGCTGGAGGCCTGCACACGGTACTGCTGTGTTTAGTGAAATGTTTTTGAATGTTTAGGAAAAGGTTACTGTTAAGCCTGAGAAGAGTCAAGGGAGAGAATATTTATCTCCAGCTAGTCAGAGCATTAGTCTTTGATTCTGTAGATCTTTAGTTTTTTGGAAAGTCTTGTTATCCACACAGAGAGAGAATCCTTCTTTTGATCTTTCATTGATCTTTGCCTGTGGGGGGGTATCGTGGCAAGGAGTTGCAGGTAAAAAATTTCAGCTCTGCAAGATTAATGGTTAGCCTGCTGTGAATGATGAATGATGGTTCTCTGTTGGGGGACACGAAAGCTAGAGTCTCTGGTTTGAAAGATTTTTCTTTCAGGTGCTCTGAAGAAAGCCTCTAGCAAAGTGTTCAAGGCAACTCACAAGGGAATTGGTCTTTGGTTGCCTAAGGGAGTGGGGAGGGCTCAGCAGAGGAGAGTTACCCACATGAAGCCAAGGGCTGGCAAAATTGCACTTGCACAAGGAAGGGTGAATATTTTGGAAGTCCAGGACCGGTAGACACGAAGACCTTCAGATGTCAATCATTGACTCAAATCCAACTCCTGTTTAAGCATCTCAAGCCAGTGACATTGTGCAGTAGCTGTTTGACCTGCTTGTGCATTGGCTTTTTTTTTGGAAGCAGTGCCGTGCAATGTATTGACATTCACATTGTACAGAAACTGAAGCTGCTAGGTTTCCCACGCAGAGCTGCTAAACCTCACTGAAACCTCTGCCATGTCCAAATGAAAGGTTTTTATGTGGGAATGAGCCACAGACTAAGGTCAGTACCTCTCGAGTTAGAATGGGAGCCTTAGCTTTTGTAACGGAGACAGGACCTCTGTCTGTCTGTACAGCAGCTATACAATGGCACCTCAGTGTCAGCTATCCTCTCTATGAACTACCATGGTACAAACAAGATATTATACCTGCTCTGGGGACAACTAGAAGTCTCCATGTTTTGCAGTATTCTTCAGTGCCAGCTGCCTTTATTAAATGATAGATGTGTGTGAACATATACAAGAAAATTCTAGCTGTAGAAGGCAAAACAACGTCCTGCATTTACTTCAGGAATATCTGCAGTGGGGATAAATCTGCACTCTGTCCTGCCCAATTCATCTTTTGACAGTTTAGAATGTAGTTTAAAGAGTAGCAAGGAAGGAAGATATATTTTAATTTCTCAAAGAGCAATGTAAATGCAAAAAGGCAAAAGGTAGCTTTAAAGAAGGAGGGGAAAAAAGGTGTCAATGTGCTTTTCAGGGAAACAAAACCCCCCAAACACAGTCCTGGAGGATGGTCACAAAATTGTGTTGATTTAATAACTGTCAAATTCAGTATCAATCAGAATTTCTCAACTATTATTGTCTCTCTGCATCAGCAGTGTGTCTTTCATAAATACCTACTTCAGTGTAGCTCCTCTTTTGTGTCTCTGGGTGGCTAGAGCACTACAAAGACATCTTCCCAGGGTGGTGGAGGTAAAATGGGTCCAAATCAGTGTAATGGCTGCATTCTTGCTTCCTCTTCCATAAAAGTCAAGCACAGCACATCGAAGGTGTAAAATGGAAACTTAGCATGTAACCTTTTGAAACATATTGCCACTGGATTCTATTGTGAGCAAGTATTTTTAGGCATCTAAGAATGATGGCCATGTTTGTTATTCTGAGTAAAAAAGTGTAAGGAATAATGAAGTTCATCTTGCCGTGATCATGTTATTCCAGAACTGTTTCTTATAAAGGTTTCTTTTAAGTATTGCATTTTCCTTTGACCCATTTGGTTTTGGCTACTGCCAGAGACACATGCTAACCTGTGTAGCTCAGAGATTTGATCTAATAATTTCCAGGTCGGCTCTATGCAGCTGAACAAAAGTCACTTTAGTAACAAGGTAGGTAGGATTTCCTCTGTGTAGGAAATTCAGAAGCAGTGTGATCTATCTGACCTATAAAAGCTTGGTTTCAGATCTCTCAGCCCTCTCAAGAGACAGCTGCCAGGTTTGTTCAGTGTTAGACATGTTTTGAGTAAGTAGCTTGAAGTCCATTGGCTGACACAGAGCAAATGTTCCTAAAAAGTCTTGATATTGACAAAATATATGAATTGTTGTTACTCTTGGATCTTTCAAAGGTGTTCGGTGGTAGTGTAAATTATCTCCTGGAGGGCACAGCATAACAGTATTGTCTGTGTTTCTCTGAAATCATGTTTATTTTATTTCTATTAAATACTTCAAGGTTGTCCTGTAGGGAAGCAAGGTGAATCTGTTCTGTGGTGAATTGTGTGTGAACTTCAAGGGGAAAGTATGGGTACCTACACAGGATGGCTAAAGCTAACGTGCCACTTCCATTTGTGGATGCATTGCAAGATGATAGTGCTGTTAGCAGGATATGTCTTTATCTCGGCAGTGGAGATTCAGTTATCCACATGACGTGGATGTGGTGGGCCATGATGGTTGTAAGCTACGTGTCTGGGAAGTGAAAGGCAGGATACGTTCATTGTATTTGGGAAAGAGTCGGCAGTATAGTGTGGTGAAAACAACAGTAGGCTGTGTGTTCCGTGTTGCTGAAAGTAAGAGGATATGAGATTGGGGAGGTTGGGGTTGGGAGATGAGGATGTGTATACAGGAAGGTGCTATGGCTGGGTATGTGTGGTTAGATGGGGTGGATGACTGCAGGATATGGGAGGGGGAGGGTGGGGGAAGCGGCTTGGGCAGCAGCAGGGCATTGTTCAGTGTTCACAATGAAGCCTTTTCTTTCTCCTTGTCCCCTAGATCTCCTATCCCCCAAGTGATGAAGACAGTGATGACTCTGGAGAGAACCAGGAACTTGCTCAGATCGACAGAGGTAAAGGGATGAAGATAGATGGATCCTGGGATACTACGGCTGAAGTCAGTTTTTCACTTTTCACTTGTACTCTTGCAAGTGCCTCCTTCCCAGTCCCCAGTGTACCACAATCAGATGCATTAAATCAATCACCTTTGAAGCATCTGGGATCTCCCAGGGAGAGGCTGAAGTTACCTGAAGCTGCAGTTGCATTTTTACCACCAGAAACAGACATTATTACCCATGTGTTAAAATCCCAGTGCTTCAGACATGGGGCAGAGATTGTCCACAATTGTGCCAGCAGCAGAGCTGGGACTAAAAATTTATCTTCTATTCCATGCTTTTGCACTTGTGTCATCTTTGTTCTGGGTTTTCTCATTCTTGATATTTTGAGTTTTAACCTTCAGTTTCTTCATTCCCCTGGACTCATTATTTGATTATCTCTTTCCCTTCCTCCTAGACTGTTGGTATTGTGCAGCACTATTCTTGCATCTAGCGAGAGTCTTTGATAGAGAAGATACAGGTGCTCTGGTGTTGTTTTTGGACTTGCTATGGAGTAGCTTAGAGCTGCAGGTAAAATCTGTAGTAAATGCATCTCTTAAGTTACGCTAAGTTTGCCATTAGTGCAGGCCCTGTGCCCAGGATCAAGTGGATTCTTATGCAGAGGCAGCAGAAATTCAATTCCTGACCCACAGGACACGTCCTGTTAGAATTCAAATTCCTGCTCCATATGCTTAGCATAGAAAGAGCTCAGCAGAAGAGATCAAGCATGCCTAGCTTGTGGCTGAAGACAGGCTCTCTTGTGACCAGTCTTGTAATAGCAGACTTTTATTTCCAGAAACTAGATCTCATTTATTTGAGCCATAAAGGTGACGCTTAGAATAGCATAACTTACTTGGCTCTTTTGCCCTGAGAACTGGTCACTAGAAGTTAATAATTTTGGCTAGAGGCAAGTGCTTAGCAGCATACTTGTAAGCTCATGACTTTTCCACCTTGAGGAGGTGAGGTGGGTGACAGATCTATGTTCTTTCTCTGGAACTAGACTTCCAGGTGATGGTTTGAAAGGGGACAACATCTGTCAGTCTGGTCTGAACAAAGGCCTGGAAAATTCCAAAGGGAAGCATTCAGCTGGGAAATGTTTCATCTGGGGAAGAGAAGGTGGGCATACAGCTCAGAAGTTTGCTTGGGAGAAGATGAAAGCAACAGGTCAGGAGAACACAGGCCCATTTTATTAGTCTGTGGGACACATATCTCTTCTGCCAGTTCTCAATCTCCTCCTCCCACTAGAGAGAAGACGGAATTGTACCCTGACTCCTCTGGCCACAAACCAGCTCCAGAACCAAGAGAACCAGTGCTGCAAGGTTCGGGCCCTCTTTCATGCCAGCCTTGACCGCCACAGCTCAGAAGAGGAGCTGGAGCACATCAACCAAGAGTTTGCCACAGAGAAGCGGAAGTGGTCCCAAGTCAGCCGGCTCACCTGCTGCAGCAACGGCAACACCTCCTCCTCCAGTGATGAAGAAGTGAAGAGCTTGTGTGCGATGTCTTTCTGGCCCGTGGCAGAGCAGGGCGATGGCCTCCATGCCAGCCCAAGCCCTGTGCTGTTCAGTGCCTCCCCTCCCAAGAGACTCCAGCCCCTGGTACGGAGCCCGGCCTCTGGACGTTTAATCTTCACAAGTGTTGGGGCGGGCCTGGAGCAAGTCATGCCTTGTAAGAGACATCGACAAGGATATGGGGATAAGGTCAGCAGGCCCAGCCTTGACCTGGAAAAAATGCAGCAGGTAAGGCAGAACTTCAAGTGAGGAAAGCAGCATTACTTGAGAAAAAGGCATGGTAAGCAAAGACAGAAAAGGGTTATTGAGGAAGGTTCAGTAAATTCATAGGGTTGCTTCTTGTGGTCATGTCTTCAGGGGCATACTTTCAGGGTACTTCTGCTCTCTGTCTAGGATAAGTTGGGGTAAGTGTAGTTACCCCTCCTGAGAGGTAAAGGGTACTGCTTCTTGGGTGGCTCCTGCTACAGCTGGGCTGTTCTCTTGCTACCCCATGAGGAAGGCAGCACTTGTGCTGTCCAGTTCATTGCATGGCACAGGAACATAATCACTGGCATTTGCTTTCATCAAGTTACCATTTCCATGATTGACCTATATCACTTACTGCAAAATAAATTAATTGTTTAGGATGTTTAAAAAGAGCCTTTGGTGAAAGTGTTTGTTGACTGGATGGTGATAGGAATTTCCACTCTTGTTGACCTCCTTGGGCCTAGATCTCTTTATGCCTCCTAGGAGTTTTGTAGGGATGTAAAAGAGTGCTTTTTACCTTCTTAACACTTCATAAACTGCTTACAGTTTGGTCTAGATGCAGTTACTCTTGATATTTTGCAGGACTTTAGTTTGGCCTGGGACTGAGGTGTGGAAACACTATAAGTTCTATTCGTCTTTGCAGAGCCTGGGAAATGGGGCAGGCTGCCTTGTGCAGTTCCCATCTGGTGCTTCCCTTTCAAAAGGCCTTGCTGTAGAGTTTCACATCTCTTCATTATTTGTTTTGCTATTTCCATTGGTATAGTGTCAGTTTAAAAGGATATCTGCAGACAACTGCTGGCCCTAGTACATTGCAGTAAGTTAAAAACAATTACTTTCAGTTCTTAATTTCCTCTCATTAGGAAAGAATTTCACTGCCTCTGGTTGATTGGATGTACTAGTTTTAACATTGCTTGCAACACTTCCTTTAAACCTATAAGATGGACGTGCTAAAAGAAATGACTATGTATTTTTTCTTAAGATCTCTAAAAGTGAGATTTCTATTTCTCTGTTACATTGTTGGTTTTTCTCAGTCCTGCTGGCAGCATGCATCCATGAATGCACAATGCAGAGACTTGTGTTTTCAGTACAGTTTTCCTCACCCCCTTTTCAACCATCTAGCCAAGTTTCTGCTCACAGAACATTCAAAAGCCCAGTCTTGCATTTCACATCACCAAAATCTTCTACTGATACAGACAGACTTTAATTAGTCTCACATCCTTATGAGAGAAGAAGAAAGCTGTTAAGCCTGTGCCCAGCCTTCTATTTTTTTAGAGTGCACATGAGTAAATGTGGAAATATTTCTTTTGGCCCAGGTGATTTCTCTGATTTGGATCCCAGGCACAGCATCTGCCTGCTCTCCTTTAAGCTCCTTTCAGCACTATGTTAAGGAGTGTATTGATGAAGGTTAGGGGCTAATTTGAACAAGCTTTCCAAACTGTTGTTTTTTTCTGGGGAAACCTTGTGAGAATAATTGGCTTCCTTGTCTACTTGCTCTCCACTTTGGATTAATTGTGGTAAAGATTTTTGCAAAAGAAGTTGAAATCTGGAGTGAAGATGGCAGTGTGTTATTGAAAAAACATTTTTACTGTGGATGTCATTAATATTCCATGGTTGTGGTATCTGTGTTATAAAGAAAGGATAGTCAGCTGGTGGATTTAATTTTAAAGAAAGTGTACTGAGGGCACAACATGACATGACACACATATGCAAAGTGAGATGCAGCCTGAATTTCTATAAATTGTCATTAACTTTTATTAACTTTTATTAATGTTTATAAACATCTATTAATTATTTTATTTAATTTATTATTTTTATTATTTTTGTAATTTTAATTGGTTAACTTTCAGCCATTAGCATCTTGAAGCTTTATGAGTCTTTACTTGCTAACTGTACTTATTTCTCCTATGAAAATAATTCAGGAACTCCATTCCCCACTTACAAAATAGGACAACGGTGTTTGTTTTTTGATCTGTTTCCCTTTTTGTTAGAAAAATTGCTGTTATTAACTGTGTGTGTACATCTGGTAGGGTGTGGCATCATGTGTTTCTTAGTCAGGTAAACCATGCATATGAGGAATATTAATATTTAACAGGCTACTCTAAGGCTTCATCTGGGCTCTGAACATCAAGCTGTTCTTGCTTTGTGATTCTTACCTTTGCTATCATGTGCTTGCCTATGAGAATGAAGCTGAAAAGTTTATCAGCTAAACATTTTTTTTTGAGCAGCAGATGTGGCTTTTACTCTTATCCCTGAGCCTTACTTCCCATTCCTGAAGCTCTGTGCAGCTGACAGATGACAAAGAATATCAGGCGAGATGAATTTGGGACTGAAGCAAATGTGTCATGAGATAAGAAGACACTTTGGGGGTGGGATGTGGTATGGGTAACTTAAGGGTGGATGAAGAGATGCCAAGTGCTTCGCATCAAATTCTGTTTATGTTGGATGGTGATGGAATATTGGTCCACAGAGTTGTGGTGTAGGGTGGCTCTGTGTTGGGATGTTTAAGAAGATTTTGCTTCTTCCCATGGGTCAGTGGCAAGTGGTGTCCAAATGTCTCCCTGTATTCCAGTGATTTGGTGTCTTTTGGTAAAAAAGAGGACCAAATTTGGGAGACAAGTGGGTCGGGGGCAATCAGAGTGCTTTTAAGAAGTTAGGCAATAGCTGTCCTTTCTTGGCCTGTGAATAAATGGAAATTACCATCATCCATGCCTTTCAGTTCAGCCTCCAGCAGCAGGGAAGGCCGTACCAGGAGCAGGTTTAAAAAGCCCTGTTTTGGTTAGATGCCAGGCTATGCCTTTCTACCTTCACAGGGTACAGTAATTCAGCCCTTTTGTGTTCCAGAGTTTGTTCTGTTGGTGGATGTATTTCCCACCTTGGCTGGTCAGCTGGCCACCCAGTGTCTCCCTGTTGGGGCCAAGTGAGGATATTTCAATATTGTATAATATATATATATTATATTGTAATACAATATAATAATATAATAATGCTATATGAGGATATTTCAATGCATGCTTTTCTTCACTTCTCCAAAGGACTAGACAATTAGCTCAGAAGGCTTCTAGTCTTTCCCTTAATTGGGCAGAAATGCCCTGACTTGTGCAGACACTCCACATTGCTGCAGTGACTACCCTCTCCCAGCACCCTTTGATCATGGTCCCTGGACAGACACATCGTTGTAGGCAGGCCCTGCTGCCAACCACTTGCTATTCAACGAAGCCTGCTGCCACCCTGCATGGCTGCTGCCACTTTAGCATGTTTGGCAATGCTGAGAGCAAAAGGTCAAGGACAGCAGGGACATCCTTTGGTTCAAGGTGAAGGCACCAGGTTCAGACTTCAGGTGTAAGGAAGTCCAGGGTGTCACAAAGACTTCTTGGAGCTACTGAGCTTGTTCCCAGGAGACTAATTGATCTTGGCATGTTGTGTAAACAGAGAGGAAGTAAAGAATCCTCCTGTGCTGTTCAGTCGGACTGCCAGGAGCACCTTTGAAATCTACTTACAGAAGCTTGTGAAGTCAGAGTGCAGCATTTGCAGAGAGAGAGAGACCTCTTGGAGGGAGAGCAGCTTTGGGGTGGTACAACAAGCAGTCCAAATACTTTGTGTGGGTAGGTGGCTAATATGGAAAGCATAATTTTGAAGTACAAGGCTGAGTGTATGGATACATGGGTATATTTCCAGGTATGCTGCTAATATATCTAATCACTATTAGGTTTCATGACTTGATTAGAGCTTTCTGCCATGGTTTGCCTGCTTGTATGAATAATAGAATCAGAAATTCATAGAATACCTTGATTTGGAAAGGACCCGCAAGTCCAACTCCTGGCCCTGCACAGGACAGCTCCAAGAATCACATCCTGTGCTTGAGAGCATTGTCCAAATTCTTTCTGAACTTCGGCAGGGTTGGTGCTATGACATCTAATCTGGGGAGCCTCTTACAGTGGCCAACTGTAAGGTTCTTCTGGGTGAAGGACCTTTTCTTATATCCAACCCAAACCTCCCCTGACACAGCTTCAGGCCATTTCCTTGGGTCCTGTCACTGGTCACCAGAGAGAAGAGAGCAGAGCCTACCCCTCTGCTTCTCCTCATAAGGAAGTTCTAGACTGCAATGAGGTTTCCTTTCAGTCTTCTTCAAGCCGAACAAGCCAAGTGATCTCAGCTGCTCTTTATTTGGTTTCCTCTACAGAGTGTCAGTACCATTTTCTTTTGGAGGCTTAGTGCATTCTTTGAAATTCATTGAGATGCTAGGATGAAAAAGGCTATCAGAGAAGAGAAAAATACATCCTGTGATACCATTAGCATTGTTCATTGCAGGCTCTGCACCCCCTTTGTTGGATGACTAGTTTCAGTGCAAGACAGATGAGTGGATCTTCATCTTGACTTGACACTGGAATGGCCTGGATATAGATGAGAGTCTTGATTTGCTTAGCTGTATAATGTCAAGACCATCTTCCTTCTGCTGTAAGTTTCAGTACTGGCATTTTGGTTGGATTGAGCATTGGTAGGGTGATCAGCACCAAAAACTTCCTTTGAGTCAATACTGGTTGCACAGAGGCTGCAGAACAGCACTCGCCACACAGGACCAAGGACCCAGGGTGTGACCCTGGTGCACTGGGGTCTGGGATTTTGGCTGCTAATGGCTTCAGGGTGAGATTTCCATATCCTTAGCACAACTGGATTTTGCCCTTGACTGTCTCTCCAGGACTTGACAAATAGCTTCCACATGTGAGGTAGTGAGTCCTTTTCACCTCTCGGCCTCCCATTTGAATCCGGGCCTCTTCAGTTCCTGAGTTGTTACCATCTATTTGCCCATCTGAGCTTCTCTCTGTGACGAGATGGTGCTAGAAGATCTACTGCTGGTGCTGGTGGTAGTTTCAGCACAGTCTCTGTCCTGGGCTTCACTCTCCAGAATGACTGAGTTGACTTCAGGGGCCTGTGCTGAACATAATGGCTTACACCAATTCTTAAGGGGGCAAGTACCAGAACTT